GGCTCCGTAAGAAGCATATCAAGGTTCTGGAGTGGCCTAGCCAGTCTCCAGACCTCAATCCAATAGAACATCTTTGGAGGGAGCTTAAACTCTGCGTTGCTCAGCGACAGCCCCGAAACCTGACAGATCTAGAGGAGACCTCTGTATTTGCAAACAAAGGTTTCTGTACCAAATATTAACACTGATTTTCTCAGGTGTTCAAATACTTATGTTCAGCAGTGCAAGACAAATAAATTCTTTTAAAAATCATACAATGTGACTTGCTGAATTTCTTTAATTCTGTCTCTCAGAGTGGGAATGCACCTACAATGTGAATTTCAGACCCCTCCATGATTTATAAGTGGGAGAACTTGCAAAATCGCAGGGTGTTCAAATACTTCTGTTCCTCACTGTATAATCTTGCAGGAGTGCAGAGCCCTCTCCTGTGAATCCAATAAAGGTGCAGTCCTAAACCCTGTAATTACAGCTTTCATTACAGCAGCCTCATGACTGCTTGGCTCTGAATGTTGAGTCAGACAACAAGTCATCTGATCTAACTTTATTTTGCTTAGTCAACAAAATGTCATGTGCCCAAATCTGTTTTTCTACTGGGGTATCAGCCCCACAGTCTGGGGGGAAATGTTACAACAGGAAACGTTTATCTGATTATATGCAGTCCTCTCACACTGTGAGATCTCATCAACTCATGGCTGTAACTTTGTGAACAGATTCATTGTGTTGCAGAACTGGAGCTAAAATGTAACAAATAATGTAATGCATAAAAGAATTCATGTCCTAAGGTGAATCCTAAGGGACTTTTTTTTTCTCTTCCTCTGCTCACAGATGTGAAGTTTGAAATCGACCTGCCTAAGAAACTGGTTTGGATTGAGTCTGACAAAGACATGGAAGTACTGTTGGAGACACTAAAGAAATGTGGAAAGGAGGTCAAGTACAATGGCACTAAATGAAGGAATCTGCCTCATGTAGAACAGGTGACATGTTAGAGATTATGAGTTTAGTTTTGTTTTTACTGCCAGTTGAATTATTTTCCTATAGTTTCTGATTCCTATCAAAGGAAGATTATGATCATTATTACTTTTATTAGCATTTAGTAAAAATGTTTCTAGATTCAGGGAAAAGGAACACCATCTAAACAGTAAACAAGAGCTACACTGTAAATTTACATAGAGTGTATTAGTCCCGCAGCTAGTGACTATTTTCTTTATCAGATGATCTGTCAACAGACATAATGAAGTGTGTAAGCCAAACTTTCTTCATTTGTATGAGTCTTGTTTTCTGTAGGGAATCGCTGCTGCTGATGCAAAGTGAAGATTTATACTGGAATTAAAGTTCTCTTCCTGTCAGGAAAACTCGGATGGACCTGCCCCCCCCAGATACCAGCCCCACAGCTCATACTCATACCATATAAAAATCCCATGGAGGCAGGTCTTCTCTCACTGTTGTGATTTAGAAGGCCAGAATATGTGACGGTCTCTAATTTTGTTGGGTTTTTTTTCCCAAGTGATGAAAGCAGAGCGGATGAAGTTGTGGTTTTGTTTATCCTCTAACATTGTTCTAACATTCTCCTCTAATAATCATTCAACACACATCAGTGCTTTATATTAATTTACACACTTTCATTTTGAGAGAAAGGTTTGCTTTTCTTTAAATCACAGGCTTCCATTTATTGTCATTGTTCAGTATTTACAAAACTGGCAGTAATACTTTGTGTTTTATCTCTATCTGTAAAGTAACAGACAAGGAGAAGGCAGGGATACACAGTGACACCATGCCCTGCATGGTCTTGAATATAAATTCCAGGTGTGAAATGTAAAAGGACAACACGTGACCTGGGATTTGTAGAATGGATTTCATTTTCATGTGCAGTAACTCTCCTGTTTGATGAATGGTCTCCTTAAAACTGCAAAGAGAAGATCCTAGCAAATGTCCTTTGACATGACTGAAGTAAACTCCCCAGACTGCAGAGCATGACTACATATTTCTGTCTCAACCTTGACTCAGTATTATTGATTTTGTTGGATTTGGTGTCATTAAAAGTCTTGAGGCTCCATGTGTACATGTCTGTGGATTCGCATCAAGAGAGAAACTCAGTCTTCCCTTCAGGCACCATCTGCTGGACTTGAATTTGTAAAACTGCTTCCTCTTTGCTGTGTCACAGTTTACACTACAATAATCCATGTTCAAGGAAATCTTGTTTATTCACATTTATATCCTTATTCAGTGTGCTAAAGATGGCAGCTGGACTTGGTGAGGCTCCTAAAGATGTTTCACTTCTCATCCGAGTAGCTTCTTCAGTTGTGACCCACTGGTAGAACTGTAAGCGGTGTCGTAGACCACCCCTCGGTTTAAAGGGTGGCCCTACCAGCTTCCTTTGCACCTCTTTCAAACCATCAGTCTTCTCTGGCCAAGATGTGAATGTTGCTATCTACGTCCCTTATCCTGGACCACTGAGTCTTGTCCCAAGGAGCTGGCTTGAAGAAACTTCCCGGATGAGAAGTGAAATGTCTTCAAGAACCTCAATACAGCCCACTTGCCAAGATTATTACTTTGGATATATCGTGGCCTGGTTGACTGAAGATCTCAATTGACATACAGTATACACTCGTTTTATTAAAGTGGTACTGTGGGGAAATGATGGACAACCATCTTCTGTTGTTTATTAACAGAGCAAATAAAATCTGTGATACCTCCACAGACTATTTATGGCTTTGTTTAGATTAGGAACAGTATTTAGACATGGTACTGATTAATGAACTACTTCACATAATCACAAAGAGTAACTTGTTGTTGAAGAGGATTTCTGCTCAGTAATGGGAGGCCTCATTAAATTAGTCAGTGCATGTCCAGCTGAAGCTACAGCTCTCACTGTGCGCTGATGAACAGAATGCTAAATGCTCCACCCATGGAATCACTGTTCACTGAGGGTGTGAAAATATTCAGGTTGCATATGATTCAGCCACCATGAGGTGCTGTGTGACAAAGACTTAACTTAATTGCTGAAAAATGCAGTTTTTTCTTCCTTATTTCCCGAAGAGCTCAACAACATGCTGTGATTTAAAAAATATAAGATTTTACTTTTTTATTCAGTGTACTTTCGTATACAGTTGGGTAGAATAAAATATTTTCTTGATTCAGTAGTTTGCTTTTCACCAAGTTTATTGGGCTTTATTGAATATGTGAGGTTCTCCTGCTGTGACTCTGAAAGACCTGGTCCACATTGCCTCTGTTTCTGTCAGGAGAAAGTAAAGTATTTTGTATATTCAGTTTTTTATAAGTTTAACAGACCATGACTTCACAGAGATCATTATTTTTTTTGTTTCCATTATGAAATGCAGATAAATGTAACTGCCCATTCTGATTTTCATTTAAATCAGTCTGAACTGCAGCGCACTGAGATCCACTGAGGGCTTAGTGTTTAAAACGGGTGTTTGAGTTCTGTGCCAGATGTTTAATGAGAGGAGTGTATTTTTTAGTTACACAGTCCTAAATATAAAGATAGCACTGATCCCTCTGGCCTGAGGCTGGGTATTACAGCCACAAACACACAAAAAACAGACTAAGGAGGGAGGTAACAGCATGCAGATAAGTGAAAAATGTTTGAACTGTGTACAGTTTCATGATATCCCTAAGCAAAGTGCTAGTACTAAATGTACTAGTAGACATAATGTCAGAGTACAGCAACAACATGATATCGTGTAGACGTACAGTATATTTGTCAGGCTGCTATGACAGACAGATCTGTGGCCCCTCCTCTCACAGCTGGTTCAACCCGCCCACTGTCAACATGGGTGACCCCCAGCAGCACGTTGACCACTGAGGCATAGTAGAGGGTGACACAGCAGATGTAGAAGGTCCAGCCGAGGTACTGTAGCAGCTCAGGTGCCTGCAGGTCGATGGACACCGAGAAGGCGATCAGAGCCCCGGCACAGAAAGCAACTGCAGAGGAAAAGAGGAAAACCTTTCAGTGGTATTGACACCAGGCTGGCTGGAGATGTTAGGTCTGTCACACATGTAACACCTGCCAACAGTGACTTAATAGGGTCAGTAAAATGGTAAATGGTAAATGGACTGTATTTATATAGCGCATATTTCACAGTGTGTTACACTGGCCAAAGAGCTTTACAGGAGATCAGACACATTCACCCATTCACACACACATTCACACACCGATGACGAGAGTAAAAACTAGTTAACTTTTTAATAACAATGTGTGATCTTTTATTCTATAATTTAAACTATAAGTTTTTACAGTTTTCCTCAACTACATTGTGTCAAACATTTAACCCTGAGCTAAGTGTTCAGCGGCCCTACTCACTAGCTAAAATGCCTAAGGCACATGAAGCATTTATCTTTTAGTATGACTTTTAAGGTTTTCAGCATTCCCCCCACAGTTTTTCATTATTTTAAGGATGTAAATCAGAACCAGACCAAAATAAATTAGACAATAAATATCAGATATCAGTATGTTTAATATGAAGGAGCAAGGAAAATGTTCAGTGTAGTTAGTCCCTGCTCACAACCAAGCATCTTGTGAAGAATTTAAATATAGGTAACAAATGTTTCAGTCATTCATTACCAGGTTTAAGGGAGTTTTAGTTGGGGATGTAGTTAATGGGCTAAAATGTGTAATATTATTTCAACTTTTTATTTACATAAATGATTTAATGGGACAGAAAATTGTCCCACTGGTCTGGAGGTCAAATCACTTTAGTTTGTTACTATGATGCAGCAGTGTAAGAGGCATCGCACGTTGCTAAAGCACACACAAAACAAAGTGAGAACATCATTCTCTGACCTACTTCTGTAGTGAATTTTTGTGCTAATCTACTGTTGTACAGGCACAAAAGAAAGATTGCAGAGTGCTTTGTGGCAGGCTGGTTAACTGCCAAACGTTTTGTGCCTGTGTATAGTTGAGGTGTATGGCTGTGTGTTATACCAGAGGTGATGTTGAGGAGCAGAGCAGCAATGGGCTTCTTTCCTCTGGTCAGAGCAGGCCTGACAGTGAGCAGAGCGGTCAGGGATAGCAGACAGGAAGCAGACAGAAACATCCAGCACAAACTGTAGCTACCTGTGAGAAGAGTTCAATTCTTACAATAGGCGATGGTCGTTACAATATTATCTGGACCTAAGCATATGCCTGATGGTGTGGGAACAAACCCCTTTATTAAACACAGAATACCTCACAAGGTCTAGCATGTTAAAGATGTTTTTGCTTTCTCTTGCTCAATGAATAAGTCTGCCACAAGCTGCATGGCGCCTCCATAGTTGTTGACATTTCTGACTCTCCTGACCTTTCACTTTTAGGAGAAACTGCAAGCTTAGGCCAGGTTCAGGTTTACAGTCATTTCCATACATGTATGGTAGTGACATACAAACATGGAAATGAAATGTTTCTCATACGAGACCTAAGTGGTCTCGTCTCGGCCGGGGAACCAACTACAGACCTTGGGCTCGGTATCAAGCGAGGAAGAATTCCTGGAGGTGTGGCTATCCTGTGGTCTAAGAGGTTGGATTCAATGATTAATGTGGTCAGGCCTGATGTGGACTGGTGCATTGCAATACACCTGATTCAGGACAATAAGGAACTGGTGATTTTAAATGTGTATGCCCCATATGAATGTAGCCAAAATGAGGAGGAGTATTTGAATAAGTTGGCTTTTATCAGCTCTTTTATACAGAGTAAGGGGCTTATGAGTGTATATATTGTGGGTGATACGAATGCAGATATCTCAGACAAGAACTCTGTTTTCGTGAAGCATATGGTGCATTTTTGTGCTGACAACAATCTGATTCTGTCTAGTAGTGAGCTTTTGCCAAGGCAGAGCTATACATACTGTATATAAGTGAGGCCTGGCATACAACATTGTGGCTAGACCACTGTGTTTCGACAGCTGATGCACATGCTGCTTTGGAGAATATCTCCATTTTATATAATATGTCTATTTCTGACCACATTCCTGTAAAGTTGGCCATTAGATTTGATTTTATACCTATTTTAATTCAGACTAACCAAAAGCATGAAAGGTTGGATTGGTCTACTCTTTCTGCAGAGGATCTTGCTTGTTACTGTTCTGACACTGATAAACAGTTACGTGATATTACTGTACCTAGAGAGGCTGTGATATGTACGGACTTTAACTGTACTGCTGTTAGCCACAAGGCTGATATTTCTTGCATGTATTCAAATATTATTCGGGTGCTGATAGAGGCTAATTTGCCTTATTATGAAAGAAAAAAGGGATGCACAATTAAAACTGGGGGGAGCACCTCT